CACGTGACCACGTGACGGGCGGTGTCGCTACGTCTGCGGTGCGTCGGTCGACCCTGTGACCCCAAGGGCGGGGGCCAGCCCGGGGGCGGGGCCAAGATGAGGGCAGGGCCCTGTTGGGGCGTGGTGGGTGGGAAGGGGGTTGTGGGGGAGGGGCATATGTGGGCGTGGTCTTGTGGTTGGGCGGGGCCTACACAGGCTGGGTGGGTTGACCTTGGGATGCAGGGCTGGTCTAAGTGGGTTGGGTCAGGTAGGGGGGCGTGGTAGTCACAGGCGAAAGGCTGACGAAGTGGGCAGCCCTGAAGGGGAGAGGAGGGAAGAGAGGGGACAAAGAGCATGAGACAGATGAACTGAGAAAAGAGAAAGAGGGAAAAAGTAAAAAGTTGTAAAAAAGAATTATTGAGAGTGATAATAAGCAAGAGAGGTCAAAGGGAGAGAAAGGAATGAGGTGTCAGAGAGTAGGGACAGTGAAGAGAAAGGAGTAGCCAGGCGATGGAGGATAGGAACATGATGAGGAGGGGGATACAGGAAGGGCAGAGAAAGCCTGAGCGGAAAGGGGAGGCTCAGGGAAGTGAAAACCGGGGCTGAGGATGAAGCCAGGAGGTGAGGGTGGGTATGAGAGGAGGCAGGAAGAGAGGGGACTGGGCAGAGTGGAGGGGAACAGAAAAGTAGGCAGAGAGAAAGTGGAGAAAGATGGCACTGGAGTGGAGGAAGGGGAACAGGTGAGGAAATCTGGAAAGAACGTGCTGGCAGAGAGGAGGGAAAGAAAGGGCACGAGAAGAGGGGCAGTGAGGTGAAGGGAAGGTCAGAAGGTTTATTCTTAGTGCCCCAGCCCTTCAGGATTTGCGTCCCTGTCAACAAGCCAAACCAGTCCTGTTGCCACAGGGGAGACAGTTCCTGGTTAGGTAATTTGGAGGCTTCAGCTTGGTTTTTGTTTGTTCATTTTTGTTTGTTTGTCTTATTGTTTTGTTTTTGTTTTTACACAGGGTCTTACTTTGTAGTTTTGGCTAGCCTGAAACTCGTGTAGACCAAGCTGGCCTTGAATTTGCAGTAATCCTTCTGTCTGGCTGTACAGCACCACCTTGGTTATGGAATTTGCTTGCTTGCTGCCTTGTTTTTTTTTTGTTTGTTTTTTGTTTTTGATACAAGCCTCCCAGGCTGACCTTGACCTTGAACTCAATATTGTCGTCCCCCCCCCCAACTGGGATTGTAGGAGTAGCCCCACACCTGAACGTCTGCTTTCTAAGTGGCAGTCTTTGGTGATGCTGCTGAGAAGGACTCTCCCCCTTTTTTCCTGATCAGTTTTCATCAGCCTCAAGTTCTCACAGTATGGAGGGCAAGATATGGACCTTTGGAGCACTTGACAGGAGAAGAAACTGACTCAGAGGGCCAGTGTGGCATGGTCTATACCCGAGTGGAAGAGAGACACTGACCCCAGGGCAGTTTCCACATCGTGGCTCAGCAGTACTAACATCTTGGCAGTACTGATGCCCCTGCCTGCCTCCCCATAGGGCAGCCTTGATGCTTCGGCTCACAAGCAAACGTTATTCCTCGTGGTCATTTTGGGAATGACACACGTTCAAATGCTCAGCTCATTTGTCACCTGTGTCTCCCTAACTGGTGTTCCTAACGGCATTTGCAGACCTTTCGTGTTTGCCATTTTGTTGGCCTGGGTCCCTGGATGTGGTCTAGAGCCAGGTGGAACATTTCAAGACTGGAGAGTTCACTGATTCCAATGTGACTTCGAAGCTCCTGTCAACAGGAAGAAGTCTGTTTCTCCACGCCCCTGAGCCTGGGCTCCCCTCATGACTGTCCTGACCCACAGAGTGGCAGGGTGTGAGGCTGGGCACAGGGAGGCCTGGCCCGTACCTTCCTTGCAGGGTGTTGCATGATTCTCAGAAGAGTCCCAGAACAAAGAGCACATAGAGAGAACCCAGTTTTCCCAGCTTTAGCCAGCCCTCAGCCAACCTGTATTCAGCAGGAGAATACAGCAGCATGAGACACTCTAGTGAGACCAGCAGAGTTGCTTAGAAAGCCCATGTACTGGAGGGAAACAACAAACACTTAAGTCACTATAGCTTGGGGGTGCTTGTTACACGGCATCAACCACTGGAATCTCTTGATGCTTATGTCTTGAATGAATGAATGAATGAATGAACAAATGCATGAATGTGTGAAATTCTCAAATTACAGCACCAGGTGGAAAAGTTACATTTTGAGCTGCATATCCTGCAGGGAGGTCAGACTGAGACATTTAGGGCTCAGTGCGAGGGAACCAAAGGCAAGCAAGCTCAACGTCCTTAACTGCTGGTTGTTGAGAGGATGCTTTCAACAGCCTTGACAAGACACCAGGGAGAGTGACAGGCCCTACACACCAGGGAGGGTCACAGGCAAACAAGCAAAGACAAGGGAGGACTGTTGCCAAGGGGGAGCCTTGTTCCATTCAATGCCCTTCGAAGCCCCCAGATCAGCCCAGAGAGCACACAGACAAGCTCTAAAGGCAAAAGTCATCTGTTGGTTGACCTAAATGTCATTAATTTTGGAGCGATGCATTATGAGCCTCCCCTTAGCTTCCTGGCAGATGACACTGCTGTGTACCTTATGGTAACGTAACGGTTGCCTGGTTACAGACACCCAAAGGCCACTTTTGCTACAGTGGTGACTCCTTACTAGAGCTGCAGGACCTGATGGGCATCTGAGATGGAACAAAACTCTGGGTAGCTCCAACTTCAGACCATATCTGGCCCTGTTAACTAATTCAACCACTGAGTCAGATTCTATTCACTTGATAGGTTGGAAAATGTTTTATCCAAGACAACAATCCAGGGCGGACTTGACCTCATGTCCACTGGAGCCAATATGTGTTTCTTGTGTTTCACCCTTGACAAACCAAACACCCTTAGTCTTTCAGCCTTGTTATATATAAAGCCCAGACTCAACCAAAGCTGGAGGAGGGCAGCTACCAGAGCAACACAACACTTCCTGAGCGCACTGTGCCCACCAAACACAAAGCCAAGATGTGTGTGGACAAGAACATCTCTCCTTTATCCCTGAGACAGGGTCTCACATAGCTCAGGTTGGCCTTGAACTTCTGATCCTCTTGCCTCTTCCTCTCCACTGCTGGGATTCCAGGCATATGCTATTGTGCCTTGTCTACATAGTTTTGGAGCTCAAGTCCAGAGTTTCATGCATGCTAGGCAAGTACTCTATCAGTTGAGCCACATCCCCAGCCCCAAAATAGCATGAATAATGAATGGACAATTGCCAAACTTTAACCCCACTCCCCTCAAGGAAATCAATAGAAATCTGCACTTCCCTTTGTCAGGCAGGTGTCTGGGACCTCTGGTTTCCCTAGGCTTGAGTGATAGTAAAGGAACTCTGCCTGTCTCATGCCTTGGTCTCCTTCCTCCCATTTATACACTATATGATCTGCTATCCACTATGAAGATCATGCCACCCCTCTACTTAAAACCCAGACATGGCTCCCTGTTAGCTGTGGAGCTGACTATCAATACCGTTCTATGGTGACAAGCTGGCACAGGCTCCCTAAGCTCTCAAACCTCATCTCCCATCTTTTCCTCCTTCTCGGGGATGGTAGACTGCTCTAGGCTCCTTCGTGTCCCTTTAAGAGTTTGGCCTTTAGCTAGGTGATGGTGATGCATCCCTTTAATCCTAGCACTCAGAAGGAAGGAGGAGGCAGGCATTCAGCTCTCTTGAGTTTGAGGCCAGCCTGGTCTACAGAATGCGCTCCAGGACAGCCAGGGCTACAAAGAGAAGCCTTGTCCCAAAAACCAAGAGAGAGAAAGAGAGAGAGAGAGAAAGAGAGAGAGAGAGAGAGAGAGAGAGAGAGAGAGAGAGAGAGAGATTGGCTTCTGCACTCCTGCGTCATTCGATCAGTGCTTCTCAATAAAAGCCAAGGTCCCCGAAGATGTTTTGAAATTTGGGGTTGGGGTAATGGGGATTGAACCCATGTATGCGCTTGGCTGGTGATATATCCCTCAGTCTTCGTTTCATATTTTATTTTGAGACAGGTTCTCATCAAGTTACATAGGCCTTGAACTCTAGGTGGGCCTGAAGTTGTGATGTCCTGTCTCAGCTTTTTGAGTATCTGGGGCTGCAGGCCTGGGCCACAGCCGGCATTTTGCTGGAATTATACCATCCAGATCTGGGTCAGCCCATAAAACAAGGATTGCATGTGCCATGTGGCTGGGCAATCCTGGAGCTGAGGAGTATTAACAGGGACAGGACCTAGGAACGGAGTCTACTTTGCATAAAAGCACACAGTATGTTTTGCATAGCTTGGGTCCATCCCCCCTTCTAGAGACAGGGTCACATGTAACCCAGATTAGCCTTGAACTCAATATGTAGCTGAGGATGATTTGAACTCTTGATTCTCCTGCCTCCGCTCCTCAGGTGCTGGGATTCCAGGTATGTCCCATTACTCCCAGCTGTAATTTGAATACTGTAAAGCGCTCCAGAAATACAACTCTCATTGTAAGTCAAGGGGCCATGACGTTTTGTCTGGAATCTCACCACACAGGGCTTGCCATCTTGTTGTGTTTGAAAGCACAATGATCATGTGTTTCAAGTGGGGGCCATTCCTTTCAGAAGGTTGAGCCATCTTTAAGGTGGAGCCTTGCTGAAGGAAGTGGGGGTGTAACACCCCTGTCTGTCCTGGAACTCACTCTGTAGACCAGGCTGGCCTCGAACTCACAGAGATCCGCCTGCCTCTGCCTCTTGAGTGCTGGGATTAAAGATGTGTGTGACCACCACCAACTGGAGCTTAAGGTTTTATAGACCGGCCTCTCTTCCTGTCTGCTTTCTGCTTGCAGACTACCAGTATGAAATGATGGACTCACATTGGAGCCTGAACCAACTCTTCCTCCCTTAAGTTACCTCTTGTCAGAGACTTGAGTAACTAACCATCAACTGACAACCTGAGCACCATCGTTCCTGCTAGTGACTGGTGCCGTACTGGTGGGTCCATAGCTGCTGCTGTAGTGGGTGGGGCTGGCAGATGCTGCCTGTGGGTGGCAGCTCCATCCTGTCTTCTACTTTAATTGTGCCTGTTTATCTATTGAAATAAAATTAGTAAATTATACACTGCTTTCTTTTGGCTTATCTTTTAAGGTCATTATCATTTATTAAAACTATGAGTGTAGGAAGATGCTATTATCTATGAGTTTCTTTTCAAAATCGTTCCTGCAGGCCTTTGGTTATGAAATGAGATGTATACTACCTACTGAGACTGTAAGCATGCCATTGGCCCCTTCCTATCACAAACAAGAGGCCTTTCCTATCCTGTCTGAAGCCCCTCTTTCATCACCTGCTCCCACATTATCCTGACCACTTTCTTACTTGCAATGAGCTTAATTTGAAAAGGCAGTATCTAGCTGCTGTATACTATTTATTGCTATACATCAAGTGATCTGAATAACTAATGGTTTAAAATTATGCATCAGAGCCAGGTGCACATCTGTGATGCCACCTACTCAGACGCCAAACAGAAGGAGAGTGATTTCAAGGCTAGCTTGGGCAACTTGGTCAGATTAAAAACTAATAGTAATAATAACTGGGTATGGTGATGTATGCCTTTAATCCTAGCACCCAGGAGGCAGAGGCAGGCAGATCTCTGAGCATTTGAGGTCAGCCTGATCGGCATAGTGAGTTTCAGGACAGACAGGGCCACATAGAGAGATTCTGTCCTAAAATAAACAAATAAAAAGAATAACCTAAACAAAACCAGACATGGTAGTTCACACCTATGATTCTGGCACTCTGGAGAGCTGAGGCAGGAGAAAAGGCAAGTTTGAGGTCAGCCTGGGCTACATAGCAACACACTGCCTTAAAAAAACTGTAAATAGAAAAGAACAAAAAATGAGACATTTATCACCTTATAGTTCCTGTGGACTGGAAATTTGCGGCACTGTGGGCACTTCTCTTAGGAGGGTGAATTCCCAGAGTGGATGGAACCAGAAGTGAGGAGGTTTTTTTGTTTTGTTTTGTTTTGGTCTGGTCTGGTTTGGTTTTTCAAGACAAGAGTTTCTCTGTGGAACAGCCCTGGCTGCCCTGGTGATTTGGGCCATCAGGCTTGGCAGCACGCATCTTCATCTGCTGGAGTCATCTCACTGGCCCGCCAGCAGCAGTCTTAACTGAACACTCTCCTTCCTCTAGTGCCGGGTGGGACTTTATTGGGTGGAGGCAATGACCTCTTTGCTATTGGTGGACTAGGGGAGACTGGCTGCTCCCCTTCAGCCCTGGGGAACTAGGGGAGACTGGCTGTTCCCCTTCAGCCCTGGGAAACTAGGGGAGACTGTGGCTGTTCCCCTTGATGCAGCTCTGGGGGACTAGTGGAGACTGCAGCTGCTCCCCTTGATTCAGCCATGGGGGACTAGGGGAGACTGCGACTGCTCCCCTTCATCCCTGGGGGACTAGGGAAGACTGTGGCTGCTCC